TCTGCTTGACTCATACCTATACTAGATATTGCAAATAAGGGAAACCATGGGACCTATGTTTCTTTGGGCCTGGCTTACTTCACTTAATATAATTTTTTCCAAGCCTTTCCATTTCCTAACAAATGGGGAAGTGTCATTCTTTCTGATGGAGGTATAGAATTCCATTGTGTATATATACCACATCTTCTTGATCCATTCATCTACTGAGGGGCATCTGGGTTGGTTCCATGTCTTAGCTATGGTAAATAATGCTGCAATAAACATAGTTGTGCTGGTAGCTTTAGTGTGGCCTTGTTTGTGATCATTTGGGTAAATGCCCAAAAGTGGGATTGCTGGGTCGTTGGGGAGCTCTATGTGGAGTCTTTTGAGGAACCTCCATACTGCTTTCCAAAGTGGTTGAACAAGTTTACATTCCCACCAACAATGAAGTAAGGTTCCTTTCTGTCCACATCCCCTCCAGCATCTGTTGTTGTTAGAGTTCTTGATTTTTGCTGTTCTAACTGGAGTGAGGTGATATCTCAATGTTGTTTTGATTTGCATTTCTTTTATGGCTAGGGATGTTGAACATTTCTTCATGTGTCTATTGGCCATCCTTCTTTCTTCTTCAGAGAAGCTTCTCTTTAAGTCTTTCGCCCACTTACTTATTGGGCAGTTGTTTCTTTGAGGATTTGTTGTTGGGTGGTTTAATTTTTTGAGTTCCAAGTATATTTTAGATATGAGACCCTTGTCCGTTGTATGGCTAGTAAAGATCTTCTCCCAGTCCGTGGGCTTTCTATTGATCTTGCTAGCTATGTCATTTGCCCTGCAGAAGCTCTGCAACCTTATGCAATCCCATTTGTCCAGCCTTTCTTTGATTTGTTGTGTTTCCGGGTTGATATTCCGGAGGAATATCAATACCAAATTTCAAACTCTACTATAAAGCCATAGTAATCAAAACAGCTTGGTATTGGCATAAGAACAGACCTCAGGACCAATGGAATAGAATTGAAAACCCAGAAATGAACCTACAGACCTATAGCCATCTAATCTTCGATAAGGGAGCTAAAACAATAGAATGGAAGACAGACAGCCTCTTCAGTAAATGGTGCTGGCAAAACTGGTTAACTACATGTAGAAAACTAAACCTAGATCCTTATATATCACCCTGCACCAGAATCAACTCCAAATGGATCAAAGACCTTGAACTCAAAGCAGACACTCTGAAAACATTACAGGATGGAATAGGAGAAACCCTGGGTCTCCTTGGCTCAGGCCGAAATTTTCTGAATAGAGACCCGGAAACACAACAAATCAAAGAAAGGCTGGACAAATGGGATTGTATAAGGTTGCAGAGCCTTTATGGTCTTTCTACAAATTCGTGTTTGTTTTCTAAAGTATCCTCACAAAATTTCTTTCCTCTATTTTCTCTCTCTATTTTTGATTTTCTACTCACTAGTGTTGGTTATTTTTCTCTTTCTCTCTCTTTGTATCTATCTTTCTATCATTTTTTTCTTACTTTTCTCATTCCCTCTTTCCTCCATATGTGTCTCAGTTGTTTCTTTTCTTCAAATGATCTATCTGGGAACTATTTTTTCTTAGTGATCAGTTTTACTTTGCTGACATGGCTCTTAGGTTTGACATTTTTCTTACCCATTGTATAGGAAAATTGTTCCCTAGAGAGTTCTACAGGATTCCAGAAACAAAATTAGAAAATCACAAACACATAAACAGATAGACTTAGGGAAAACCAGGGTTCGGAAGGCTCTCTGGCACTTGGTCCCTTGGTGCCAGCAAGCAAGCATAGTTCCTTGAGTGCACACAGGGAAGATTACCATTGATAACATGCAAAAATGAAGTATCTATATTAGTAGTACAATCAGAGCCACAACAGGTTGTGAGGAAAACATGTTTCCTAATCTCCTGAGACAGAAGACTGGCTCCCAGATAAAATGCAGACATGAAGTTCACCTTACCTAGCCTTGAAGGTGAACAGCAGCTCAGTTTCAGATGCTATCTTTCTATCTTTCCAACAGTAAGGAAAAGGCCTGCCCTCCAGTCTCTTAACCCTCTCCAGAATTCTCTTTTAACCCTTCTGCGGCCAGCTCTCAGTGTTCTCATTGCGGTCAGGCTGGAATTCCAACCTCTCAAACCTTTTCCCCCTTCAGCTCAACTTCAGAGTTCCCACAGAAAAGTATTTCCTTCGCCCAACTTATAAACTACAAGAAAATCCTGATTCTGTTATCTTTGGTCTAACTTCATTTGATGTGGTATTTGTTTTGTCTTTCCTTACCACTACTTTTGAATATTTAAATTCACTGCCAGTATACGATAGGAACTGGTTTTGATAAAAAAAAAAAAAATACAGTGACAAGGTGTTCTTTATTAGAAATATCACTTGTTGCAAAATCTCTCGGATTTCTCAGGAAATGATTTGGATCTCTGAGGAATTTTGCGATTAACTAACACAAGTGGAAATATATCCTTAGGGATCTACTGGAGAAATGACTCAGAAATATGTGACACATTGGAGCATTTGTTCATATTCATCATTTTTGTCATATTGAGTATTCCTTGAGCTTGTATACATTTTCCTCCACCTTCCATGAAATCTATTAAAATGAAAATATTGTAAAGAATATTTTATTCCCCTCCCACATATATTTTGTATTGTAGAAAGTAGGCAAAGTTTACAAAACTTCATGGTAGCAGTTCTTTTTTACATAGGATGGAAATATCAGGGTATCTGTGACCACTTTTCAATATTTAGTATTTAAACCAAACATGGTTAACCTAGGGTATTTTTATGTGTGAACTCAATTAAATCTTATATGGGCAAAATAAATCATTAGCTACTTTCTGGAGTACTGTTAGTATTTTTGAATATTCATGTGGACACTGCTTCTCATAGGTCTAGTAATATTCTATGTTCTGTATTCCATGTCATATCCTGAATGTGTTCTACTTGCTTATGAGAGTACCTGTTAATAGAAAGTCAAAATAGGATTTAGGGTGAAGCAGTATATGTAAATGCAGAAAAAATATTTGTTTAATTCATTGTTACCCTTATATGTACTAAAATTTTATCAAAAAATGATAATATAATTTTTCAGACACCTCCTTAGACTTATTGTTGTCATGCCAGATTATTGTCTCCTTAGAGTTCTTATCTTGTCTCTATTGCTAGCAGCAGAAATGTGTTTGCATGCATTAGGGAAACTGTAATTTTTATTGGTCTTGGGGCTTGAATTCTGGGCCTGGTTCTTGTCCCTCAGCTCTTCAGGTCAAAGTGAGTGCTCTACCACTTGAGTCACAGTGCTACTTTCAGTTTTCTGATGGTTTATTGGAGATAAGTGTCTCATGGACTTTCCTGCCTGGGCTGGCCTTGAAACTAGATCCGCAGACCTCAGCCTCCTCAATAGCTAGGAGGATAAGCCACCAGTGCCCTGCCAATCTGTGTGTTTTAATGACCAGATTTATATATTGTCCAATATTTCTAATTTGCTATTTAATTTTCCCAGTGAATAGATAACACAGCAAGCTGCAAACATTTAATGTAAGACAAAAGCATACCTGCAGCATAATGAAATTCCTGATTGGAATTCTCATGACCCAGGTCTAATTTCTTGATGGAAATGTGTCATTACAGAAGCTGATGTCATTTGATGATGTGGCTGTGTACTTCACATGGAAGGAGTGGCAGGATCTGGATCCTGGTCAGCGGACCCTTCACAGAGATGTAATGCTGGAGACCTATAGCAACCTAATGTCCTTGGGTGAGCAAAGGTCACTTTTTCTTGGAAGATCAAGTGCTTTTATTTTAGTAGACATTTGACTGTTTATGTTATCTAGGTATAAGATTCCAGTCCATTCCCAGCTAAAAAACTGCTAGTATAAAAGCCAGCCAAATTCAGGTCTGGGAGCTTGGTGTTGTTTGCCTTTGCACTACTGCATGAACCACAACTCCATTTTGGCTTTTGTTTTGGGGTATATTCTGGGTTTCCATGCCCAGGTTGGTTTCAAGCCTGCCACTTCAGATCTCATCTCGTCAAAGAAGGATTAAAGTTGTAAGCCTTTGAACTATAACATTTTCTAAAAACAAACAAACAAAAAAAAAACCACTAAAAAAAGATTCCAGTCCATGGGAAGTGTCATTTCTTTGTAAGGGAAACTTCAACTTCATTATATGTAACTCAAGAGCTAATTTTATTTTCAGTCTTTAAGATTTCTAATCAATTTTGGACAAAAGTTCTAAACTATGATCCAATAATAGGAGACTGACTTCTCAGACTTGGGATAATTATTATAGGTGGATCTACAGTCTAGATAAAATATACATTACTACTGACAGTATGATCTGGAAATCAGTAGGTGAAAGTGTGTATTTGTAAGCCAAACTTGACACAGAGTTTAGTGCATCAAGATTGGAATTCTAGATACTCTGGAGGCTGAAATCTGAAGATTTTGTTTTGAAGCCAGCAACTTTGGAAAAGTGACCATGAAACTCTTATCTCTAATTAACCATTCAAAAACTAGAATCGTAGGCAAACTAGGAGAATGCTAGCTTTGAGCAAAAGAGCTGAGTTCAAGCCACACAATGGACACAATAAACTCAAAGCTGGGGGAAACTCCACCATGGAGTTATTAAGAATAGAGAAACCATGGTCTGGGAAGATGGCTCAGGGGTAGACCAATTCCCTTGCATGCTTGAGGCCCTGTGTTCGATATCTCAGCACCACATAAGCAGGGAAATAAAGCTAGAATTGGTGTTGTGGCTCAAGTGATAGAGTGCTAGACTTGTGCTTAAGAGCTGAGAGACAGCTCCCAGGCCGAGAGTTCACACCCCACAACTTGACGGCCCCCCACAAAAACAATTGAGAAACCAGATTTAGGAGCAACCTTGTGAACAGGATGTCTGCGACCTTCCATTAATGATGACCCAGCAAGAGCAATTGTACTCCACTATTTCTTATTCACAGGGCCCTGTGTTCCTAAACCTGAATTGATTGTGAAGCTGGAGCAAGGTGCAGAACCATGGATAAGAGAAACCTCAGACAAGAATTTTACAGGTTGGTTAAAGCATCTTGAATGGTGATGATGGATCCAGAGCCCAGTGGGTCTGTTTATATTGAGCGGTACGGAGCAATAGTATTCCTAGTGCCCCTGAGTCATGTGTGGCAGAGAACTAGGTGATCCTTTGTCTCAAGGAATTGTCAATCCAGAATTCACATGGAGACACACTGAATTTGGTGTGCCAGTGTAGGCAGTGTTAGCAATTCCCTTTTTCTGTAGAGAAGTCATTCATAAAGAGAAAAAGAGAATAAGAAATGTAGAAAGGAGATCTCATTTTCTTTTAAACTAGTATTATGCAGGTAGGAGGAAAATAGGAGTATGCTAGGGCTGCTATCCTCTGATGGGGACAATTTCTTATCAGTGGTGCTGGGCATAGAGGGCGATTCAGAATGGAAGCATTAAGAGTATGGAGATGAATAATTTCAGGAAATATTTCCTGGGAAAACATATAATAATCTAAAATACAGAAAAACATTATTTTGCACTGTACAATGTCAGTACTACTTTCTTAATTACTACATTGCAGAGAAATGTATATATTCTGCATAAAGCAATGATTTGATATTTGAAAATCTAGTAACAAAATGTGAGGAAATATCGTTATCGTAAGGAATTTGTGGGTCTCATTTATGTTTTTGTCTATTTTTCTATTATTCATTTTAGATGTCCCAGAAATGGAGGATGTGAATAGCACCTGTCAGGAAAGTCACAATAAATATCTCTCTGAAGTAGCAGTCATGAATAGTAACCCAGGGGAGGAAAAAGTGAGACTTATAAGAAGTTTTCATTTGAGCTCCATACAGAAGTCAGAACTGATTAAGAATAATGGGAACTCCTTAGGGATGAGGATAGAAAAGGTCACTGGCTGTCAGAAAATGGGTGTTTTCAGTGAACCTGGTAAGATGTGTGCTGCCTATAGTCCTCATGTGTCTTCTGTAATTGAAGAATATAAACACTGTGAAAAGTCTTTCACTGAGAAGACACACACTCTTGTCCCTCAGAGAACACACACAAGAGAGAAACCTCATGAATGTAACATGTGTCGAAAGTCTTTCACCAAGAAATCAAAGCTTACTGTCCACCAGAGAACACACACAAAAGAGAAACCTTTTCAATGCAACATTTGTGGAAAATCTTTCACCTGCAAGGCATATCTTACTAGACACCAGAGAACACACACTGGAAAGAAAATTTATGAATGTAACTTATGTGGAAAGTCCTTCTCCTGGAAGTCAACTCTCACTGTCCATCAGATAACACACACAGGAAAGAAACCTTTTGAATGTAACGTGTGTGGAAAGTCTTTTACCAAGAAATCAAAGCTTACTGTCCACTACAGAACACACACAGGAGAGAGACCTTATGAATGTAACCTGTGTGGAAAGTGTTTCACCCAGAAATCAAATCTTACTGTCCACCAGAGAACACACACAAAAGAGAAACCTTTTGAATGTAAGATTTGCAGAGTTTTTCACCCACAAGGAATATCTTTCTACCCACCAGAGAACACACACAGGAGAGAAAATTTATGAATGTAACTTGTGTGGAAAGTCCTTTACCTGGAAGTCAACCCTCACTGTCCATCAGATAACACACACAGGAAAGAAACCTTATGAATGTAATGTGTGTGGAAAGTCTTTCACCAAGAAATCAAAGCTTACTGTTCACCAGAGTACACACACAAAAGAGTATCCTTTTGAATGTAACATTTGTGGAAATTCTTTCACCTGCAAGGCATATCTTACTTGCCACCAGAGAATACACACAGGAGAGAAACTTCATGAATGTAATGTGTGTGGAAAATCTTTCACCCAAAAGGGTAACCTTACTGCCCACCACAGAACACACACAGGAGAGAGACCTTATGAATGCAACCTGTGTGGAAAGTGTTTCATCCAGAAATCAAAGCTTACTTGCCACCAGAGAACACACACACTGGAGAGAAACCTTATAAATGTAACACGTATGGAAAGTCTTTCACCAAGAAGTCATACCTTACTTGCCACCAGACAACACACACAAGAGAGAAACCTTATTAATGTAACATGTGTGGAAAGGCTTTCACCTGGAAGTAAAACTTCACTGTCCATCAGAAAACACACATGAAAGAAACCTTATGAATGTCATATGTGTGGAAAGATTTTCAGCTAGAAGCTACACCTTACTGTCCACCAGAGAGCACACACAGGAGAGAAATTTTATGAATGTAACCTATGTGGAAATTCTTTCACCCAGAACATACACCTTTCTGTCCATCAGAATAAAACCCACCAGAGAGAAATGTTATGTATGTAGTAGGCATGGAAATTCTTTCATCTGGAAGGCAAAACTTAACATCCATCACAGAACACAAGGAGAGAAACCTTATGAATGCAACCAGTGTGGAAAGACCTGGAGTTCACAGCTTAACACACATAAGTTGATTCACACAAATGAAATAACTTAGGATTGTACCAAATGGGGAAAGTCTTAGATCTTTAAGAAAATTGAAATTGCAATACAGAACCAATACGGGATAGAGACCTTATGATACAGCTGATGTGGAGTCCTCCAACTACAAGACACAGCTCAGAGTATATCACAGAACACCCAAAACACACAGAAACACAGACACATACTCTCACACACAAAGAGGAGAGAAATCATATGTAGGAAAAAATGGAAAGTTTTTCAAGAAAAAGTCCTAATTCAGTTTCCATCAGAGAACAGACACAGATGAGAAAATACAAATATATCAAATGTGGAAAGTCCTTTACTAAGTATTCATAGATCCAAGTTCATATAACACCCAGCAGAGAAATCTTAAAAATATTACAAATGTGGAAGGTCTTTGACCTGAAAGGAATATCTCAGTGTTCATGAGAGAACTGACTCACATAGGAGAAAAGAAAGTAGTGCATAGAACATATATGAAATGACTTTCAATCAGAACTGAGTCCTCATCATATGTGAGATCATACACAGGAGAGAAATTATGAGTATAGAAAACATTTTGCCAGAAGTCTTATCTGTACAGGTATCAGAGACCTGGACACATGACAGAATTTCTGTAAATATAAACATGAGAGGAAGTCTTTCAATCAGAAGCCAACCTTCAGCAATTATTAAAATATTCACCCAGGAAAGAAACCCAATGTAGGAAAATCTTTGTCAGAAAATCTCTGTAAATTATACAGAGAAATTCTTCATGGCAGAGTTAAGTTAGGGGTGATGGGAAGCCATTCTTCACTCTTCAGCTCTCTTTGAGCCAACATTTGTCATTATGTTGAGTGGGGATGGTGTCCTTCCATATTATCCAAAGCATGTAGAAACAACCAGTCTTGACAAATAATTAAGAAATTGAAATAATTCACTTGTGTCTTTTATATTAAGGAATGGTGTGTCAATGTAATTTGATAAACTCTTCTTAGAAATATGAGTTCTAGCCCTTTGGGACTGGGTTCAGATTATCTCCAACATGCTTATGGGAACAATAGATGAGTAAATACTGTTATGAACATGAGAACAACCATATTTCTACTGCTCCCTTAAATCTCCCTCTGTATGTGTGATCCATGCGTTATAGTACAATTTTTTTTTTTTTTGTCGGTAGTGGGGCTTGAACTCTGGGCTTGGGCGCTGTCCCTCAGCTCTTCAGCTCAAGGCGAGCGCTCTACCACTTGAGCTACAGTGCCACTTCTGGTTTTGTGGTGGTTTATTGGAGATAGGAGTCACATGGTCTCTCCTGCCTGGGGTGGCTTTGAACCATGATCCTCAGATCTCAGCCTCCTGAGTAGCTAGGATTACAGGCGTGAGCCACCAGCGCCTGGCTCAGTTCAGTTTTTGAATGGAATATCTAAAGGAAGATATTAGTCCTTATTGCAGTACATAAATAGTAGTAATGTCTTTCTCAGAGGGGTAACAATGCTCAAAAGGAAATGTATTCATGACCTAACTCATAATGGTATAACCAATCTGTACAGTATGTTTACAATAAAATATATATTTAAAAATATGATAGATTAATAAAGACGAGAATCTGCATTGTGCCTTGGGGGAGAACCCCAAAGTGTCTTCAGTGCTTGCTCTTTTCTTTAATTAATCATTGGTGATGAGCAACTTGTGATTGATTCACTCTTAGAATATTTAGTTGTTCTGCTGAGCAAGCTATTACAAAACACCAGTGTGGATGATGTGTCGCACCTGTGTTATCTCATAGAGGGCCAAAGTGGATAGGATATTAGGGGAAATAATTGAGCACACAAAGATATTGATCAACCTCTCACAAAAATTGAAGTTAACAAAAAAATAAAACCATCTGCTGCCGCGGACCGGATTCTGTCGGGACGACGGAGGATACCTTGGGGAGGAACCTGGAATAGGATGGGGAGATGGCAAACAGACAACTCACACACATTAGGAGTGAATGCTGAGTGCTGAGTGCGATTTAATGCAGAGGATAACAAACTTTTATAGCAAAAAGTCTCCATAAGAAAGGGCAAAAGGTTACATAATCTTGCTGCAGGGCTTCATTCTTGTGCGGTCACCAGCTGGTCGCCTGAAAGGGCAAAAGGTTACACAACCTTGCTGTAGGGCTTCTTTCTTGGGTGGTCACCAGCTGGTTGCCTGAAAGGCACTTGTTTCCGGCTTATCTCTAAGAAATATAATGGGTTTCGATGTTTTGTCTTCAACTAACCATTACCTTATTTCTATAGAGGCCTTAACTGTCCCATAAGATCTTTCCTGTTCTTTCCTCAATAGCAAGGTCACCGAGGCCTAGATCTAGCAAGTCTCTTAGTAAATGAAAGAGAGTAACAGGAAGTTCTTTCTCCTAAGTAGTTACCTCAGCAATTGCCATACATTCCTTCTGTTCTAGCCGCGCCTACAGCTTCTTGTAAATCTCTTACAAACAATTCCTTCTGCTGAAGTGACTTTGTGAAACCCCCAATACTTTTATATTTGCTTATGACTTGTCTACTAGCCTCCATAAGAGGG